TTGTGTTTGGTAGGGAAATTTTAAAGACAAAGCACACCACAAGCCAAATGAACGACAAATGAGACTGAAATTGGAACCAGATGTCAAATTAAGAAATCTGAAAACATATGATAAATGACGGGGAATAAAGATGGACATGTATAACAGTTGAAGAAAACACCCTATGGTGTGTATTCTTGTTTGTACTACCTTAGAGTTAGTACTGTCCTTCTATTCCTGTTGCATATAGCATAAAGTAAAAAGATTTTGATGCCTGATTAGGGATTAAGCTTTAATCTATTCATTGACCAGGAATTTCGACTGCTACCTGAATGGCAACTCTTTGGAAGATTCCAAACATAAAACAAAATCCAAAGGTTTCCTCTGGTATCAGAGGTATGATTCATGAGACTCTGCTAATAATGGAAACATCCTGAAATAAGTTTATTCCATGAAAGTAATTATTTTTAATGTTGATTTTAGAAGCTGAATAACCATATCAGAAAGTCACGTTCCAAACCTGCTCACCTGGTTTATACTCTGTTTATCGAGACATAGAATATACTACCATTTCAGATCCTAGGGCAGTTAAAACAGAACTTTTTTGCCCTGGAAGAGAAGGACCCAAAGAGCATATCTCATGCATTGTGGATACAGGGTATCACAGGTATACAGGAGTAATGTGGAGACAGATACTGCATTGATGAAGATGGTCAGGGTATTGGCATACTAGTTCTCATTTTTCTTTCTAACATCTCTGTTCCATCAGCTAATTTGTGAGATGCTGTATTGTGAAGTGTTCTTGTCCTAACGTGCCTCACTTCTGCTGGTGAAATACACAAAATCAGAAATGGGAGGTGACAGAAATTACACTTGGTTAGGAGATGGCTGTCGTGTATAAAACCATTTCCTTTGGATGAAGATTTTGCTGTCGTGATCCATGTCATTCTAATTTCATAGTGGAGTTTTTATTCTCACTTACCCAGCAGTGGAGACCAATATGGAGTATACAAGGTGAGGGCGAGTTTGTGCTGCCAGTGGACTCTTTTTTTTTCCACTCACAGCAAAAACTGGTGACCCCGTCATGACTGTTTGCCAGAAGTGATGATGGAACTTGAAAAACTACTTTTCTTCTTCTGCTACCTTATCGTGTTCAAGATCATAAGAAGCACTTAAGTTTTGTATATTGTCATTTAAAGGAAGGAGACTAACAATAAATGTTCCTGAGAGGGAGATAATGCTTTTAATATGTGTCCAAGATGCTGATCTTTTGAACAAGTTTCCAGGGAATATCCGCTTGTGCTGGCTGCTGCAGTGAAAGACGACTGCAGGAAATCAAACTGGTAAGAGAAGTGAACTAGATAGTTTTGCTGATAGGTTCCTGTAATTCTTTCTGTAACTTATGATAAGGATGCCCTGATGCTTTGGGCTGCTTGCCTTTGTTATGTACTTATTTCCATATAAATACCTATTGGTTTTGGAAACTAAGGCAAAGTGTTAATGTGGTTTGTAACTAGAAGCTGTACAGGAGACAGTTGTATACGGAGAGAGGGATGACCCACTTTAGCAAGGAGAGCCATGTAAAGAATGTACGTAATGTTAAAGAATGTTAAGTTATGCAGAATGAGGCTGATTTGAGAATGGAGGCAGTGAGATACCTGAATGACTGATGTCACCATAAATGCTAAGACGACAACTGGTATCTGAGGATAAAGAGTTTTTCGATTTTATGAGAACACGTCTTTGGGCCTGTGTTTAGTGACAGGGGAGACAATCACTTGTAGCTTTTTTTTGAGGTGAGTCTGAGGCTGGCTAGTCAGCTACACAGCTGGTCTGTGTAGTTTCTGTGTATAAGTCTTGTATAAGTCATGGCAATAGGAAGAAATATGACAACACAATGAAAGAAGATCCTTGTAGTATTGTCCTAGTACTTAAACGATTCTAAGAACTTGCTTTAAGATATATTTTCCTCTGGCAGACAGTTCACGTGTACTGCAAGTGCTCAGGAAGTAAAATAGCGACATATACTAGATCCCAGTATTCATGGCCAAGACCCACAACTGCTTCAACCAGAACAGATCATTTGGATTTATAAATACAGCTGGTGCAAATAACCAGCAGGAGTCTTACAATTTCCAGACCTCTGACTTTTTGGAAGTTTGATATTAACCTTTGCTTTACATATTGAGGTTATAAAGTCCACAGAACTTAGTAAACTGAATTCCCTTTAACTAAATATAATGGAACATGGGGTTTTGTGAATACATAAAATCTGTAGGAGGGCTCACTTCTGCACAGAACCTCTCTTCAGAGGCCTCGCGTTCTTAAGCAACACACCTGCATCTGGGTGCACTTTACTGTGACAAATATCCAGCCTTATCTGAGCTCACAGATAAGTGTTTGCAAAGATCCTGCTGCAGAGACGACAGTGCCTGTAGGTTTCCATAAGGACAGGAAATACCTATGACGTGGGGTATAGATTAAACCACTATTGATTTATTAGGAGAGAAATATAGGTCAAAATCTAGTTTAAAATGCCTCTCTCATAATTTTTACTGTGGATATAATTCTACAGTGTAGTAGCTTAATCTCCTGGAGGCAAAACACTGTCCTGTGAGAATGCAAGATGTCTGCGGTCGACTTTGGGCAAAACCAGGCTTTTCTGAAGGGATTTTTTTTCTCTCCAATTTCTAGATAATAGTCTAACTCTGACTGATGACCATGTCATTCATAATAGCCCCTTTCACTCCAAAGCCGTACAGATCTACATAGCTTAGGACATTGCATGTGAATATCAGAGGATCCAGAATATCCTGAACAGGCATAATATGTTAGCTGGATGAAGCAAAAACATTAACTTACAATTGGTTTACTTATAATTGAAACCAAATGACGCTTCTGCTGTTTAAAAACAAATCACATTCTAAAGACTGTATTGAGCAGCAACACATGCCTTAGCTCTCCTGTTGCTCTCCCCCCACTGTGTTTGGTTTGCTCATCTAAGAGGAGCATGTCAGAGGGGCCCAGGTTGTTCCCCTGATTGCCAGGACTCCAGCTCACCTCTGTGCCGTGCAAAAACATCCAACACAAACTCTGCTGTTGCGAAGCTGTACCTTTGGGAAAAATTTGCCTGGAACATTTGGTAAGAATGGAAAGCTGTTTAAATGGGGCAGGGTTTGAATGCTCCAGTACCCCAGGCCATGTTTTACGCTACGTTTTAGCAGCAGCAGTACCCCACAAACTAACCCGGCAACAAGAACAAACAATAAAGCAGTGCAACCGGTTAAGCAGGAGGATGCGATTGTGTCCCAAATGGCTCCCGTTCCAGCATCTCACCCTTACTGAGATGTCTGAAGGTTGAGCTCGATGGATATAAGATTGTTCATATTAATGGCTGACTGAAAACATAATTCTTCTTTGGCCAAGCCCAAAATATTTTTATTCAAGAGGAACTGTTGCCAAATAGAAAAACAGGAAGAGACGGTGAATGAGTCACTGGGGGAGTGGGGGTGGGGAGGATCTGTATTAAAATCAAAAGTTAGATTCCCCACCTCAAAAGTAGCAAAGAGCAAGTGGGGGATGCCTATGTCAACCAGCCAGGATACTCAGCTGGCTAGGACAGAAACAAGTTCAGATCCTCCCTCTCCCTGACTTAAAGAAAGGATATGGACCATGGAGTCTCACCTTCCAAGGAAACGCTCTGCTCATTGAGGCAGGGAGTGTTTGGATGCTCCAGTGAAACAGTGAATATATTTTCTTAACTAGGTAGCTGCCACCTGGCATAATACTGGGTGGGTCCCTACTTTAGTTGTTATTCACATAATGTTTTATTTGGTTAGGTTTCACCGGAATTTACTAATGATCTGCGTTTAAACAAAATCATACTTCTGGGGAATAAACAAAAACGTTCTTCCAGCGTTCTTTGTACGTTGCAAAATTTGCAGGTGGATAATGAGTATTTATAGAGTGAAAACATACAGTGCCTGTGCTTGGATTGCTGTTTCAGTTCATCACTGATAGGTATTAACAAAGCCAGTTGCATGGGACAGAGAGGGAGAAAGCAAGAGCGACTGGAGCCTGGGCAACAGAATGGACTAGTGGTTTTCAGGAAATGTTTTGGTGGTAATGGAAACTTACCACCCTGCACTGACATGCAAACATTACGTGTTGTGCAGAAGTAAGAGCAGAGGGAAAATAATGCTCAGCCTCAGCTAGTAGAAAATGCACAATACAAACACGCAGCAAACCAGGTTTGTGATTACATGGGGACTATAAACCCTTGAACTAGCCAAACTGAAAATAGCTTTCAGTCACACCATCAACAACAATATGATCAGAGGTTAACCTAGCACTAGATTCTTTGTTAACGGCAGTAAAATTCAGATGCCAGCTTATCAGATTTTGTGTATTTATACTGCTTGTTGCCAAGGGATTTGAGTAAAGAGTTATGGTCCTGGAAATCTCAGGAATAAGTAAACCAAAAGCAGAAGATAAAAATATACAATGCTGTTACCAGCAAATCTAAAAAGAAGGGTTTGAATATAGGAGGACCTCTCTTTATTCACCTTGAACATTGTTCTCAGTTCTGAGTGGATTAGTGTGCATCTTATTAAACTTCCCAGTGACAGTGTTATGGGAATGCAGGGCACTGGATGCAGTATATGAATGTGGTTTTAAATTTCTGCAAATAAAGTGATAGTGTCTCCCATGAGTAGTGGAAAATCTCTAGGGAAGCACTATGCCTCCGGGATGGACTTTAATAGCAGAAAATGGGAGTTTTTCCCGGTTAAAAAACATTGTTTGCACAGAATTTTGGAACATGCCTGTGTCATCTTCAGATCAAATCTATCAAATAAGCAGTTCTTAACTCCCCTCCCGCCCCCCGCCAAATTCCACGCAAATTCTTTCACCAGAAGATCAGATACGCTGCAGTTTCTGCTTTACAAGCTTGGAGTCACTTACCTAAAAGACCTTGCTTCTGCAGGACTAAAGTAAAAGCCAGCATGCAAACGAAAAGCATGGTTTCAAACTCTCCAAGCTCTGTTGTAGTCCTTGTGGAGAGTGCTGCAGACTCCCTCCTCGGCTTTACATAGACTCCTCAGTCCAGTCGTTTGTGCTGAGGTTTAGCCAGAGAGTTAGGAGGAAATATTCCCAGGCTGAGCCAAGATTCTTAAGCTGTTCTCTTTTTCTTTCCTCCTTTTAAAAAACACCCTTCATGCTCCACAAAAAATCCAGTTACCCAGGCAAGCTGGCTGTGGTCCAAGCTCCCCAAAGTTTTTACCCTTCTATTTATTTATACTGAGTGCAAATGGAATGTGCTGAAGAGTTTTGAGTCCTGTGAATACAGCAAGTGGGGCAAGAAAAGGAAGCAAGAGAGGACAAAGAGGGTGCTGGGTGTTTCTGAAATCCCTGTAGAATTTCATCTAGCACGGGGAAAGCAGGAACACTGGAAAACACAGTATCTTGAGGGCTGCGATCTTGCAGAGTTTTTTAATTATGTATTCATTTTTAAAACCACAGAAAATTTGCTTTCTGACAGGTGAAAATTCTGCTGGACTAAGTGAGGCTACATTGTGGGAGGTGGTAACTGTGAAGCCTCGTCTTTGGAAAGTACCTTAGGATCCTCTGTGAGCCTTCTGAGCTCTTTTTCGTTCAGAAGGTGTTTGAACGGGGTGAGTTGTCATAACATCGTGTGCAAAAAACAGTAGTGCTAATGTTATCCTGACAGTGTGTTTGATTTTTAGTAAGATCTTACTTAAATATTACATTTTTGTCTTGTGGGTTCATGGATACTGACTGGATCAGTGGCAGTGTTTGGCATTAGGAGTTGTGTGGAGACGAGCTCCAATCCCAAGTCTGCCACAGATTCCTTGTAAAGCTGTGGTCAGGTCCCTCCCAGTTTACAGGTTTCTAGCTTCTACTTATGAAAGAAAATTAATAATCCTTTACCTCATCTGAAAAAAATAAAAAAGTTAATGGCTGTCTAGTGTTTTATGGCGGTTGAGCAAGACTTATTTCTGTGCAAATGCTTATAATTTAGCAAAGGAAAATCATCATAGAGTAAGTTAGGAATAAATTGCAAAGCTTATATACAACAAAGGACTCCATGTGCAAGAGGGAGCCTGTGGAAATCCTGACTGAGTTTGCAAAATTAATATTTTTCTTGGATGTCTATGGATGACTTCTAGGGATCTTTGACCTTAGCAGAAATGTTCACAAAGGTCTATTGGATTCGTAATGCTGCCTTTGAAATATATGGGAACAAGACCACCAGCACTGTGCACTGTCTGATTAATCCAGACTCCTTCCAGGCAAAACTGCACAATATCTAGAATTGCCTGTTGTTATAACGTTCTGGAGTTCCTCTGATCTCCTTTGAGTTATGTGCTCCTCAGATGAGGAATGTACAGGTGTGTCTGAACTTTGCTCACTGTCTTATAGATGTGAAAACTTGAGCAGACTCAGAATATGTTTTGTTCAGAGTTGTTTACAAATGTTAGGGGAATGAAATCCAACAGAAGGGGTTTTTTTTGATGGGAAAAATGCTGAGTTGGTATAACATAGACACTTTAGGCATGCTTCAGTTCAAAATGTTAATGGGAATCAGGGAGGTCTTTCTTCCTGGCAGCTACTTCAGCAGCTGGCTAGCTGGTCCAGTAGTGGTGGGAGGGGAGAGGGCTCTGTCACAAAATTGGGCTATGGCTAATGGTAGATGATACATAATCCTAGGAAACGTACTCTCAAACTTGGTGTAGTTCTCTGTGCATTTATGCTGGGTCACTCACTGTGTAGACTATGAAGCAGAAACCCAGAGAAAACCAAACAGTAGTAGTAATGTGGCATCAGAAGGAGCGTTCGGAGTCTCAGAGGAAATAGTGGGGTAGCTGGTAAAATGTAAAATACCTTGTACTTGCTCCCATTCAAGTCTGAATGGTTCAATTCTAAGGTTAAACTTTGAATTAAAGGAGAACATTAACTTTATACTTGTGGGAAGTGATCCTGACTTGGAGGAGTTTCCTAGAAAGTGTCCGCAAGAACTGACAGCATCTAAAGAAACACAGGCCTCACAGAGGAGGATCAGTTGGTATCAAGTCTACCTCTGGGCTTTAGAAGAAAGGTAGGCAGATATTTCCTTCTCAATATTGTTCCTCATAATCATTTAAGTCAAGTTACCTTTATTAAACTATTGCTTATAAAAGTTGAAACACTAGTAGTGTGTTCCTTAGTCCTAAAGGTCATTGTCTGGGACAAAAGGTTTCCCACCTATTGAAAAAAAACCCTGCAAAGTAAAACAGATTTACTTAATCTTTACCACCTCCCTAGCAGTCTGAAATTAAGTCATTTCAATTGAAAGTGAGTCTGTAAAGATGCTATCATAGGGTTCAACATGTAATCATTCACACTGACTTCCAATTCTGACTTGCTAAATGACAAGGCAAAACATCCTCAGTAATAAAAAGTCTGTGATTGGACTTTAGCTGGTAACTTCTTGGAGGCATTGGGCAAAACAAGGCATAGAACAACCCCTGTTTATTGACACCTCGGGCCTGGTGCTAGTAAGCTAGCATTTTTGTGACTAAAATAAAATTGACTCTATGATAGTTAGAGCTGTTAATTGGTGTTTTGGCTTAAATCGTCAGGTAGGACTATTGCAATTTTTGCAAATTTTTGTTTTGAGAATCAGTCTAATCATTCCTGTTGAAAAATTGCATTAGTTTTAATTTTCTTATGAATTGGTCTTTAGAGAGGAACTGCAATAGGTAGCAGTGAGTCCAATCTCTGTTTCATTCTGTGTTTGAATATGAGTCACTGGTTTGGTAGACTGAGATTTTTGAAGTCAGAGGCTATCTGCACATGGTCTGTGACAGTGTCTGTTCCAAGGCCACCAGAGGAGTAAAAGTAAAGCAAATAGAAGGGACACAAATGCTATACTGGTGATTTTTTTTTACATTTGGGATTTTACCTGCCAGACCAAGAGTCCTGTACTGCTTTGCAGACAGGAAACTCGGGGGCAGGAGAAGTTATTTATGAATACTTGGTTGCTGAATGTGCATTAACATTGTCCTTGCAATAAGTACCTTTCTCAAACAGAATCACGTGGTGCATTCTCTGTATTGCAAAGGTACCCTGTTCAGAGTTCCTGGATGCTTTCCCGTATACTTTCTGCCATACTCTACACCATATTATTAAAAAGCAATGAATGTTCATTGACTCAATTTTCCTCTCAACACGCTATAAAAATAGTGTTATTTCTGCTCCAGACCACCTCTGTTGAGGTCACTTACCCCTTTTGCAGCACGCTTCCTTGTGTTTCCTCCTGAATTGTTCTCAGGCTCCTGGGACTGTTCAGTTCTTCCAGGGCAATTGCTTCTTATTTTTACACAGAACTTTTTGTTTGACCGTAGTGAGGTGCTGGTCTGAGGGGCAAGGAGAATTAAACAAGTCAAAGTAATGAGAGGTTTCTCTAGTATCATACTCTAGGGGTTGTTCCTGTAGTAAGAGAGAAGTTCTTTCTCTGGCAGGGAAACGCAGCCAGAAAGAATACTTATGCCAAGCAAGATTGTGGTTTTCAGTGGGACTACCTGTCCAAAGGACTTTTGGCAGTCTTGGGTAACTGCCTAGGATGACTTTCATTACTCATAAATACTCAGAAAGAAGCTGCAGTCAAAGAGCTCTTAACTGGCAACATAACATACGAAAAATACAGTGTATGTGACAGAAATCATTAAATTGCCAAGTAGATTTTTCAGTGCAAGACAGAAAGTTTAGGAGCAGCAGAAAGAGAATGATATATACAAACCTATCTGTCTTCTTCTGGAAAATTTAGTCAGTAACTAATTGCCATCAGAGAAAGCATTCTTCAGCACATTCATCTTGGAAATGACCATATATGAGAACATAATGAGATCATATGAATATAGGCTTGCACAGAATCCAGCTGTTGAGATATTCCCAAGATACCAGCAGCCAAAGAAAGCATACCAGTGAACAGGGATGTGAATTTTTGCCAGCAGGCAGTCTGGTGAAAGGGAGAGCAAACATAAGGATTAAGTCTATTTTGGGAGTGGGTTTTTGTACAGTCTTTCTGTGACTCTTTCTTGGACTAGTCAAACGCTTGGCAAAAGCAGTAAATAAGTGCACAGTGATAATGTTGAGTATGTACGGAGGAGGAGCAAAATAAAGGGCATGTGTCAGCAGAGGACATTTTTGCCATGGGAAGGAAGATCATCTTGTTCTTGGGTCTGAACTGCAGCATAAACGTGCAGAAGATATAGCTGAGCGTATACTTGGCAAGCATTGGCAGGCGTTGCACTGTAGTCCCTCAGGACTTTTAGTGAGACAGAGAGAAAATTAAAGGGAATTTATGTCTGGAAACCGAAATATGGTAGAAAACCCATCCTTGTAGGGGAAGGAAAGCACCTTGCACTGAGGAGAAGAAAATGAAACAGCATGAGCTTTATCCTGAATTTAACCCCGGGGTGGGGGGTGGTGATGAGATCAGTGTGAGGTCTTCATTCTGCCAGTCTGCCCCTGAGGGGAGATTTGTGTCCGTTAGGGACTGTGGAGGTTCCTCAGGCTCTGGACACAAGCCTAGTAACTGCTGGCTGCCCATGACCAAGAAGTTCTCACTTCTTGGAGACTGTTGAATTGCTTAGCTAAAATGAGGCTTCATTAGTGATCCGTTCAGGAGAGGTGATTAGCTTCTTAACTTACTTGATGTCTGGCAGCTGGGTTGAGAAGGTAATTGAATAGAAGCAGAAGCAGAATAATTTGTTGCCTAGAGAGGCTGATATCCAGAAAGCAGGGATGAAGCTTGTGGACTGCTTTTCAGGGGAGTGTAAGCTTGCTTTGCAACCACTGCATCTGTTTGGTGAATAAATGAAAGGTCTCCTGCAGTGGTGACTTCACCAGAGTGAAGTCGAGGTTGTCATTTAAAGCATTCTGTAGTCATGACTCTTAGCACCAGATCCCCTGCAGTCTCCCCTGCGTCTCCACAACGCTCTGGCGTGCCTTGATCAGTGTTGCAAGTTTTGTGGGCTGTAGCCTTCAATGCGTGGATATCTTCTGGTTCTACTCCAGTTCAGTCCCCTCTCCAATCTGTAGTACGTCAACATGAACTAATGGTTATTGTCTTGATCTGCAAGTGACATCAAAAAGTGTGAAGTTCTGCTGTCATTGTCATAAGGACATAATCCTTGATACCGCTAAAGAAAAAATCACATGGTTGATGGTATGAGGTGCTGTCAAGATCAACTTCATCTCTAAGCGTGTCCTCCCAGGAGGTTTGACAAACATGTGTCATGGAGCAGGCAGCTCTGATCCAGCCTTCT